GTTTTTCTGAATTGTTTTTTGTAAGTTCTGTATGATGTGAGGTCCATGCCTGTAAATTTTCAAGTCATTTGGCTAATCCGAATAAGAATTAAAAATCGCCAAAGATGGCTGTGTCAAAACGTGCTTGCCCACGTATTTTTTCACTTTTTACTTTTTGTTTTCACTTTAGTTCGGGATCTAAACAATTTTATTACTTTTTGAAACTTTTTTTAATGGGTTTTGTATTATGTGAAGTATACATCTGTCAATTTTCAGGGCATTTGGCTATTCAAAAAAAAAAATGAAAAATCGCCAAAGATGGCGGTGTCGAAAACATGCTTGCGCACTCACTAAATTTAATTCTCTTTTTATTTTTATTATTAGTATTTGTTTTCCGTATTTTATTTTTATTTCATATTTGGTAAGGAATTCATATGTAATGCTCAAGCAAATCTTGTTTAATTTATTTTTTTCCATAACGTATCGTTTTCTCAGATATTTTTGATGACAGTTTTTTTTTTTTTTTTTTTTTTTTGGGTCTGCGTCCGGCTCGAACAGCCGAACGCATCCCCAAGGGGTCCCATACGTTCGGGCGTTCGGGTTCGGGCGTTCGGCCCGTCCCGAACGCCGGTTAACCTGCTTGTAGATGTAATTTATGCCAAGACTGAAAGATATGACAACGGACCTACCCATACGTCAAACGTCAGGTTGACTCTTGCTTGTAAGAAGCAAATCTTAGATCTCTTCGGTCATATCGAGTGTAGGAAAGAATAACTTTGGGAGACCATCTCATGAGGTCAAATTAAGTCAAGATCGGCCATGCGCCAGGATGGTGGTTTGTGCCATGCGACACAAGACGATCTTATGATGGCTGAGTCTGATTTTTTTTTATTTTTTAATTTTTTTCGGGTTGTTTGGTTTTTACGACAACACCACTTTTGCCAATGATTTGGAACGTGTGATAGTCGTGAAGAATATCTTATTTTTTAAGTATGTATATTATCATATTGATTTGGATCTTTAACGTCTCTTTCTGAATTTGATGTATAAAGGACTAAGATTACTTGTGGGTTTTACGCTTTGTTGAGACCATCCTATTCAACCGATGTGTCCTTCGTACTTAGGAGATCAGTGTCCTAAGGAGCAAGAGACGGTCGGGTTCCATAGTAGTTTTAACCACCCGTACTTATACTCAAGTGAAACGAGCAAACGCCCTCAACCGACCTACCTCTGCGACCGCATGTCAAGACTTTCGCATGTGGTTCAGTAGCTCCGAAGGGATATGCCCCTAAGGGTGGTAACAACCCCTTAGGGAAGGTAAGTTGTGCCTCACACTAATGTTTTGGTCTGTAGGGGACCGCGAGAAGTACGTCTGGTGTACGAGGCTCAAACAGTGAGCTAACAATGTGACCACCCCCGTCTAGGAGGTTCATACAATTACTTTTGCGTTTCTCGTTTTGTTTTGTTTGACTCTTGCGTGACATGACCGGGAGGACTCTCGCCTATGTGAGGGAAAACGAGGGTCGATGCAGTCGACATCGGAACCTTCGAAGACCAGTAGGCCGAAAAAATTGGAAATAAACAACAACTCAAGCGGATGTTGGCAATGGAAAAAAAAAACTCCTCAAACTTTCATAATGTTTTTCGCTCATAACAAAAAAAAACAAAACCTGAAAATTTAAGATCTAGTAGATTTGGTCGAATATCTTATTCAAAAAAATATTATTAAAAATAAATTAATTTAGACTGTGAAATACCCATCGTACCAATTTGGTGCATTGTTCATTTTTACGACTTTGCCACCTATGAACCAACAGAAAAGTACTCAAACTTTAACGATTTTTCACGCTTACAAAAATGTACAGAAAAATCTAAAAATTTACAATCTGGCTAGGCTACCAGTCGGGCCGCCCAGGTCCCGGGTGGCCAACCCGTGCAAGGACCAGGGAAGTTCCCTCCCCCCCAAAAAAAACAAAAAAACGTATTCCAAAAAATTTGAAAACAAACTATGTTATACAGAAAAATAAACTGAACAACTTTTGTCGCAGAGTCACATCAAAATTTTTCATCAAATTTAGAATAAAAAATAAAATTTAAAAATTATATTTTTATTTTTATTTCATTTTATTTTTTGGCCCGACCGGGCAAGTGACCCCGGGCCACTCTGGTAGCCTAGCAATCTGGTAGATTTAGTCAGTGATCTTTCTATAAGAAATACTAAAAATATATATATGAAAACAAAATTAGGTAGTGAAATAATCACCGTGACGATTCAACGCAGACTTAATTTTTTTCATTCTTCCGGTTCTCCACACTATGCTATCGATCGCCCTCATGAACTTGTGTTGTCGGATCCCCAAATTTTTAGTGGAGTGGGTAGTGGTGGTTTAAAGTTGGTTTCATAAACGTGCCCGTTTCCATTGAATCAATAAAATTGTTTCCCTCTTTCCCCACACCTAAACCATGACTATGAACGTTAACGTCCATTATGTCAGTCTGTCACAACCAGCGTATAATCCAATTGTATGTTTGGTCATGTGCAATCATATCGTAAGGTCTCTTGTTCGTACTGAAGCTGAACTTTGTAATCTTATTTTCCGCTAGAGTCGTGTCGAAGACCGATTATGCACCACACTTTTTAACCTATGTGAGTACTTCCTTAACTCAGCCGAGGATGTTATCCCAAGGCTTCCTACAATGCTCGACTCGTTTTGCTACATCCTCCTTTTTTGTTGTTTTAAACTTTATACGTTCAGAAATGCGTTCATAACTATCAAATAAATCATATTGGCCCCTCATGTAACAAACAAGCGTAAGAGGCTTTGTGAGATTCTAACTTAACGTTTTTAAGTTTAAGCTACACCCCCGCACTATCAACCTAGGTGGTGACAACTTCCTCGTCGCTCCTCCTACCCTGCGTTTTCTCACAATCTTAACCATCACTACTCACCACATTCATTGATAGTATATGACACCAATCTTGATTAACAACGTTTTTCGCTTTCTTGTTGTTATTGAGGTGTCATCAAACTCTCAATTTTTTTTCCTTAACGCTACTATCACTCCAATAGTGTATTGCAGAAACCTCGATTGTAAATGAAACGAATATGCAAAATAACGTACCTTTTACTCACAACTTGGACCATCGAGGCGTGCACCTGCCTGACCTTACAAGTATCATATTGACCCCTCATGTAACAAATAAGCGTAAAAGGCTTTGTGAGATTCTAACTCAAAGTTTTTAAGTTTGAGTTACACCCCCGCACTATCATCCTATGTAGTGACAACTTCCTCGTCGCTCCTCCTGCCCTGTGTTTTCTCACAATCTTAACCATCACTACTCACCACATGCATTGATAATATATGACACCAATCTTGATTAACAACGTTTTTCGCTTTCTTGTTGTTGTTGAGGTGTCATCAAACTCTCAATTTTTTTCCCTTAACGCCACTATCATTCCAATAGTGTATTGCATAAACTTCGATTGTAAATGAAACGAATATGCAAAATAACGTACATTTCACTCACAGCTTGGGCCATCGAGGCGTGCGCCTGCCTGACCTTACAAGTATGTGACTGTTTCGATACATGTATCATGACAATTTTCATCTGCAAGTTCCAACCATTGATCTACAAAAAGTTCGCCTTGTAATTTACTTATAAGCTCTATAGTGAACATACCCAAGAGAGGTATTCTCGATGACGGTGAGAGAGAGAGATTCAGGGTTGATTCGAGGCCATCCTCCTCCTTTGTAAGAAGTGTGAAAAATGACAATTGGCTAGATGTATTACACCCTTGCGGATGCCCGCCAAACTCAATGGTTCAACTGGTTTAGGCAACAAAGGTATCAATAACATTGTCACCTCTCACTTTATGTCATATTGGAGAGGTCGCAAATCAATTGGTAGGTGAGCATGCCTCGCCACCCCGAAGAGACCTCCCTTCCCCTTCCTTGACGTGCGGCTCTACTAGTATCTTGCTGAGTGTATATTAAAATCCCTGAACATGCCTATAACCATTACTTAGTTACAAACAAAATGCCGTGATTTGTTTTGTCACTTAAGTGTTGAACGACGACAACTTGTCATCAAGTAGGCGTGAAATATAGCGATAGTAACAAACGTGACGAGCACAATGATAAAAAAAGTTTATTTGTACATGAGAGGTGCTATTGACTTCAAGCGATGATATGTAGCATAAAAATGAAGATCAACATCGACAAAAGTATACTTTTGTTTGAGTTGTTGGACGTCATCATCACAAGTCACTATGCCATAGCACAACGAAATGAAGGTTTATGCATGAAGCAGTATCATACTCGCGATATACTGCTAAGAAAGGTTTTGCACATTACCTAGTTTATAAGACCCCAAAACAAAAAATGGTTAACAATCATATGCACTCAACAATTACTTTTAACGCTATTTGGGGTGTCCTCAACAAGTAAGTCCATATGGCCTATGGTGTTGGACGGACTTCAATCGATCGGTTATACACCACTACTCTTGTTTTCCTAATCGGTTAATTTTGCACCACGATACTCAATAACGAGAGTTTATCAAATTATAGAACCTTCGAGAAGTAGTTTAAGTGTTTATGAAAAAAAAAAACATTTGTTATTTAAAAAATATTTTTATAAACTCATTGCAATGATAATGGATTAGTAACTATAAAAGTTTTTAGGAGTATCATAAAGGTTATATGGTGTTTTCTTGTATACAACATTAAATATGAATCAAGTGCAAGTCATGTTCTGGTACATTCTTTTTCATATTGCTACTTGAATTATGCTCAATGGTTCTTCATATTGTTATTCGAGTTCTGCTTAATTTTTTTGAAGTATTAGTAATCGTACTTTACTGTTTTAATTCCTTCAAGGTAAATTGGGTATCGTTTTTCATTGAGTATCAAAGATGTTATGTATACTTGTGTGACTTTAAAAGTTGGTCAACAAAGCAAGTTGTTTACATTAAAAAAAAACAATCATCATTAAATGAAACAAAACGATGATTTACAACTTTCAAAGTTTTGCTTTGATTTTTTATCATCATGCTTAAAAAAATTATATCTCATATTAAAGTTTAGTCAACTTATAATAATACTCCTATAAGAAAGTAATCATGATAATTTTAAATGATGCAAAAAAATATAATTAATATATATATATATATATATATATATATATATATATATATATATATATACATATATATATATACACCCTGCGCATGTGATCCGCCTCTCCAGCTGGTTCCACAGCATGCTTCGATGGTCTATTCATCACTCGCTTTCTCTGGTATCTACACACTGTCCTCGGACTACGCATGTCACACCTATCACAGCCTCTTCTTCATTACCTGTGTCTGCCGCACTTGCGTCCTCATAAGTCTTAGTAACCCCTTCCATGCCGTTTGTGACCCTGGCTGCCCCTTTTCGGTTCGCAGCCTCTTCCTCATCGGCCTTGGTTGCTTCTACGATTGATTCCGCAGGAGCAACTTGACCCGCACCTGCTGTGTCGCCCTTGGTCTCGGTGTGTTCCTCCATGGCATCCGTGGCCACCGCAGCCGTTGTGTCGCCCTTGGTCTCGGTGTGTTCCTCCATGGCATCCGTGACCACCGCATCTGTTGTGTCGCCCTTGGTCTCGGTGCGTTTCTCCATGGCATCTGTGGCCATGCCTGCATTACCACCTGCAGAGTCCCCTCTTCGGGTCTCACCTACGACTGCCCCCCCTGTCTCTGCTTCAGCCACTTCACCACCCCTGACTTCACCCCCTCCCGTCTTCACCGTCTTTATTTCCCCTGGTTTTATCGCTGTCTGTTACCCACCTTCCGACTACTCTACCACCCCTGTCTTCACCACTCCTACCTCCCCTGGTTTTGTCTCCATCCGTTACCCCTCCTAATCCACAAACCACTTCGTCCACACAGACTCCGTCATCATGTTCTGCCCCTGCAAAAAGCCTACTTCGCCGTCCTAGACGCCGACTTCGACCTACTTCCCAACCTCAGCTTACTCCCCTTTCCTCCATCTCTGTCCTTGGACGAAGAAGAACCCGTTCATTCTCCCCACCACGGCCCTCCCCAACATCCCGTCCCCGTCTTTTGCCGCCCCAAGCATCCTTACCACGCCTGCAACGCTCTTCGACTGCAGACCTTTCTGCAACGGGAGGGATGATGGCGAGGGACCATCTGAGGATGAACTTGGCAAGGGGACTGTAGGAGATTCTGTAGAAAATCCGCCTGACCGACCTTCACCGAATCTGTGTGGCCTCGCTGGTACTAACATCTGCCTACAAGCCTATCGTCGGGAACCATATACTCACTCTGATTTCTTGGCCATTGCTTCCGATCTTGATGCTTAGGAACGTGAGTTATATGGTGATAACCCGGCTCTGCATCCCCCACAGGATAGTAATTACACTCGACATGGGGGATTCAATGTCTCTGTTTTGGAGACTGCTTTGATAAGTCGCCGGCTTGATAAGCAGCGTGCCCCTTCGGGTGGCGACCCGGACCACTGTTCGCATGCTTGTGCCTATATTCTACATACTCCTGGCCACTACACCGCTCTTGTTCGTGCCTCTGGTTCTTGGGAATTATGGAATGGCGGTGCTATGGTGCAAACTATTACTGCCATCTGTGATCTCGTGCGTAATTACCCTAACCTGCAATTGCTCCAGGTCATTGACCCTATGGGTACCTCGTGTGCTTCCATGCCCGCCTCTACGCCTATTTTTGTGCCTGCCTCCGTACCTGTTGCTGTGCTTGTTTCTATGTCTGTCTCCTTCCAGATTACTGACCCTATAGGTACCTCGTGTACTTCAGTCCCCGCCTCTGCACCTGTCTCTGTGCCTGCCTCCGCACCTGTCTCCATGCCCGTTTCTGTGTCTGTCTCCATGCCTGTTTCTGTGTCTGTCTCCATGACCGTTTCTGTGTCTGTCTCCGTGCCTACCTCCATGTCTGTCACCGTGCCTGCTTTAGTCTTCATTCCCCCCCATGCTGCACTAACACCTTGTGACCTCCTTCTTTGTGAGATCACTGACACAATTACACTTGGTTCTGGAAAGCATCGACTTTGTCGACATCACTACAACCATATAATTTTTCGGGCCCGCTGTCGGCAGGGATGCCACCTGTATCCGGATTGTGAACATCCTCTGCATCCAGATGCAGTATATCCCATCTGTGCCTACGGGCGCTATAGCGAATG